TACAGCAGGCAGCAGCAGGCAGCAGGCAGCAGCAGGCAGCAGGCAGCAGGCAGCAGCACCCGTGCTACAGCAGTACCACACATCGTACTTGCCCAACCGGACGCGCAGCTTACCTCTGGGTTATTAGCAGCCGGGTTGGTGGTGGCAGAAGAACGTGTCCTCAATCCCTCATGCGAACCCTGGATGGCGGCGATGACGGGGCAGGACATAACCCTGTCTGCCCCGCAACCCCCGCTTCCGCCGCCTTGTGGTATGCCGTTCTTCCGAGCTGCGTTTCGCTTGCCCGCCATGATGGCGTCAGCCTTTTCGCGGGCCAAGTTGGACAAAACCACTTCGCTAGCCTCGCAGTAGCCTGTGTTCTCCGCGGCTTTTCTGCCCTTCCTCTTGCTGTCCAACAAGGTGGTGCGAAGCTTGATTCCTCGTTCGTGTGGGGACCACTTGTGGATAACCTCGTATCTTGTTTGGCCAGCATACATGATGCGTGTACATTCGCCAGCGGCAGTCACCGCTGGGCCCTGGCCGCGCAGCATTTTCAAGCCCGCTTCCCACCACCACTTTTTGTCTGACCAACTTTCTGAGTGGCTCTACCCCCCCTAATTCGACCAAGCGGAATCGATTGGCGACGATTCCCGTGGCGAAAAAGTTCGGCAATGCGGCGAAAAAAAAAGTTCGGGCTGAAGGGGAACTTTTTTTTTTTGGGAACTTTTTTTAAACGTCGTTTTTGGGCGTTTGAGAACGATCTGCGAAGTCAATTTTTTTTTTTTTTCTTCTCCGAGGTGGGAAAGGTGATTCGTCTTTAGCTCGGAACCCGCCCATGAACCATAATGACGAGCACGTTCGAGGTGAAAGAAGATTTGACGACTGCTTTGCCCCAACCCTAGTACTTGCGAATGCCGTACTCCGTACCTTCTTGTAGTACCCATACGCGTGTTGCGGATACAAGTGATTCAATGTCGGTAGAACTGCGAATTGCAGTTGTGTGGGACGCTGAAGAGGGCTAACGTCGACTGCAAGAGTGAGAGAAACTCATAGGTTGGCTAGACCAATACCGCATCGAAACTGTTTTCGAGGCCAGTATTGCCGTCAAGGGACCTGCCGTTGAGCGACCTGCCGTTGGGAAGGACTCCGTGGTTCTCGAATCGACGACTAGTTTGGGGCGAAAGGGACAGGAAAAACAACAACGCAGCGATGCAGAGAAGACACCTCTTTCTCGTTCGCTCGCAAACGGTTGCACCGGGTACGTACCGTACATGTTTGTTATTGTTCTGCCGACCACAGGCCAACCCCAAAGATGGTTGCGTCCCTCCCTCTTCCTGTTCTTCCCTCTCTGGCCCCCTCATTCGTATTTGGCAGACTAACGAAAGCCCTCGGTATCTACCCATCTCACGTTTAGCGCCGAGGCCCTTTGAACGATCCTCTGGACACACGTCACCAATGAAATTCCATCGAACGAACACTCATTTTGACTACATACAAGTAGGTTAATCGAAGCCAATGAACAAGACCAAAGTCTTCCTGGAGTAAGCTTTTTTGCAACAGCAGTTCAGCGTTGTTCAGACCATCTCTGGGGTCATCGAATGTGTGGGCCCTCACAAGTAAGATCCTGCTGGGCAAAGAACTCATCGAAAGCGAAGCTGTGGAGGATGCCGGTTTCATCACGCGACATTTCCTGCTCAACACGATCGTAGCGACCATCCGCACCACTTCACATGGCTGAGAATATTAGAGACGAAGGACTCCTTGGATACCGCCAAGGGAGCTGCTTAGCACAACATTTTTGCTCGTTGTTCATCAAGTGGACCCATCGCCACGAACAAAACGTATGTCGCACCAATGAAGCACGTGGTGCAAGGGGCAGACCGTCACAGTCCCTCCCTGGCCGTCAGCACAGGCATGTGGGTATCATGGCCGTATCGGTGGTGAAGCAGCGGCATGTACCTCTCCGCGGGTCAAAGAGCAAGGGCAGCAGTAATCAGAGCTGCCAAATAGGTGTTTAACGTTTTCATTTTCCGCCACAAGGGACTGAAACGGACCTTGGTTTTCATACGTTCGCACCAACTACGGAATATACATAGAAATGTGACAACAGTTTCGGCCAAACTTTCCAAGCGAAGGGTCCCCGTCTATTCCTGGGACAGATCAGCTCTTCGTGAGCTGCGCCCGCTGGATATCCGAGAACTCCTGAACAGCAGTCAAGGCCATAATCCCTCGCGCGGCAGAGAGAGGGTGAAGAACACCGCAATCTCGTGCCCGCCGCTGTTGTAGTACATCCTAGTCAAGGCTTCACCGCATGCCTGCAATAAGCACGCGATTCGGGATCAAAGCTTGAAACGGAACACCCAGGACGATCAACGGTTGAAGCGGGAGCGAGGGTAACGTAACAGCAGTTACTTCTGGCCGAACAACGGTAGGAACAATGCAACAAGAAACCGGCAAGGCAAACAGATAACGCCACCAATGGAGAACTTGGTAGTTTGGCAACTGAGGCCCAAACCATTTACACTGTAAGATCCACAGACCGCGCTGGTGATGCCGGGCTAAGATGCCCGACTGAAACCTCAGTGAAGCCATTGTGGGTGATTTTTCCTTTCCCCCGAAAAAAATCGAGCCGGGAGGGGGGTTAACAGGGTTTGTACCAACGTCATGCTGTTCGTGCTACTGCGAATACATATTCAACTAGGAGAAAGCGCTTCGTCGAACGCCAATATGGAAAGAGGGAATCGTCGTCGACAGACGTTGGGGAGATTGTACCTTGAAGGAGGTGGTTCCACATAGGAAACGGTCGTTTCGGCAAATGTTCTTCATAATTCGTGCCGGAACGATCGACGTGCCACGCAACAGGTTAAGACACGATCGCACGGGCAATTACATGTTTAGGAGCTCAAGGTACGGAAGAGCAGAGATGCCATAACTACCTATTTTGGGTCAACAAGATTGGTTTCCTCGTGTTATGCGGAGGTGGCTGGTGTGCTGCGTAATGCTCATGTTCGAGTTCATGCTCCCGATGACATCTGCGGACGCCCCAGCGCTTGTGATTCACGAGGTCCTAGAGTCTTCTGAGGTCTCAGGGTAGGGCCTACCGCAGTGTGAAGCCATACCAATGAAAACACTATACACCCGGTACCTGGGGTCACCCAACCCATGGAAAACACTGCCGCAAGAACCCAGAGTGCAACCCCCGAATGGCCACAACGTTTCTCTTGTTGTTGTTGTTGTTGACTTCACATTAAACCGTATGCCAGTTGCTAAATGCCAAAATCTAGCAAAGACTCTCGGCCCGTGGTCACGAAAGTGTTGGAGCCATCTGAGGATCTAAAGAACACGCACACGTAGCAAGAAAAAGGTGTACAAGAGCCCGAAGAGGTACTACTACACCTATATATAATCCCTGCAGCACCGTACGCGTGCCCAAAACTGAACTACACGTCCGTCTCACCGTTCGACTACAGCAACATCACCCCCTAC